AACGCCCTCTCCTGTCTCGCATGTGCATTACACACAGATACAATTATGCAGACAAAACACTCATACGCAGAAGAGAAAAAAAATCTTAACTAAAAAAAGAAAAAAGAAACAAACCCCTCATTCTTGGCTCCAACCGCAGGGCCTGAGCTAGGGTCGCGGGACCTTTATTTATTTAGCGCATATTAAGGCCTTTAGCCTTAGCATGTGCAGGAGGGGAGGCAGGGGTGCTCAGTGGAGCTGGACTGGGAGACCCCACGTGCTCTCTGGTGTCCCTTCCCAGAGACTGTCTCTACCCAGAGGCTCCCGTGGCGGCGCATGGGAAGGGGCCTTCGGCAACCTAGGGCCAGCCATGCCCGCTGTGGCCACAGCCCCGAGCCTTACCATATCCGAGATGGCGTGACTGTCTCGTACCAGGACCGACACCATCTGCAGCAAAAGGTGGCGTCAGGCGCGGGGCTGGCCACCTCCCCACCTCCAGTCCCCCCCCCAAACCCGCACCCAGGCACCTTATCCGCCGGGAACTGGACGGCATCTCCCGCGCACGGGGTCCGGTTCTGGTTCCAGTTGGAGGCAGCATCGAAGGAAGTATTTGGGACCCAGAGTTTGTAGGTGGCCCGAGTCAGTGCTAGAGAAAGGAAGGCTGAGTGTCGCGCCCTGGGAAGGCGACCCTCCAGAGAAGCGCGGCAGAGGTGCGCACAGCGCAGGAGGTCAGACCCCACCGCGGCGTTCTTCGCCGCACTCTTAGCCGATCTGCAGAACCCGTGCAAACATGCCCTCCCTCTCCCTCGGGACGTCGTCGCTATTCACAGCAAGCTGACTGCCCGGGGTGGGGTCCAGGGGATTCGGAGAGGAGTCGGCCTCAGGAAGGAGCTCTGGCAGGAAGCGCACTGGGGCAGAGAGGGAGCCCGGAGCCGGCGGCCCTGTCCCGACTGTGCACAGAGGTCCGCCAAGGGATCGGAGGTCCTCGAGGAATAAACTGCGGCTTCTCCACCTCCCGGGCCTTGGGAGCCTCAGCAGCCCGCGCCGGGGGACCCGGATTGAGATAGGCTGCCAACGCCGCCTCCATGTCCCACCCTCTCCTGAGATCGCGACCCTTCCAGCCTAAGAGGAACCTCAGCCTCAATCGAGGTCCAGACCCCAGACCAGGGGGACGCGCGGCCTACCGCAGAGCTGCAGCCACAGCAGGACCCGGCCCAGAGCACCCATCTCTCCGCCGAGGCTCTCACAGATGCGGACTTCGCTCCCAGGGCCCCACGTGACCGGGCGGGGCTGAGGGGCAGGGGGCGCCCAGATGTTACACATTTACCCTGGGGCCGCCCAGCTGTCTCCTGAGGTCCCTTGGAGGAATCTTCTCAGCGACCTTAGCATCTGTCCTTCCGGACCCAGGGCCCTGGGTGCCCAGTTAAGAGATCGGCCTGACTTTCCCTGTGACACGGAGGCCAACAACCCTGGAGCTCAGCCAGCTTTGCTCGTCTTCTCCAGGCCTGAGGTCCTGGCCTGAGTGCGTGGTCTGCAGGGATTGTGTGGGTTGCAGGGTAGAAAGGAAGGAGAGTCAAAGTGCAGGCGCGTGGCGGTCCTGGAATTGAACGGGTGAGATGTGCCTGGGTGGACGGCCGTGAAGGCAGGTTGTAGGGGACAGGCAGGTGGGCGATGAATGGAGGATCATAGAGTGAGAAAAATGACAGGCCGGTCAGTCACCAAACGGTGGCGGCGACGGCGTGAGGAGAGCTTCTGTGAGGACATGGTAGACTCCTGGTGCTGGATGTTAAGTTCCTGCTAGCGATGGGCATGACCGTGGCTGGAGAGGGACTGTGCCAATGGAGGACGGTGGCTGACTGGTAGCCGTGGATGGGTGGCTAGTGATGGCAGCCGTAGACACGACTAGGTTGTGGGGGGATGGTGTAGACGAGAGTGAACTGGAAAGGACGCCTGGCAGAGGCCAGACAGAGAGTTCTGGGAAGGGTGGGTGAAGATGCCAGGCGGGGTTCATCTGGAAGGAAGATTGACTGAGAGGTAGAGGAAAGGGCTTTATGCCGGGAATGGGTGGAAACGGACAGTAGATGAGGCAGGTCCCTTGGCAGGGCTGGCAGGAGGATGGAGAGTGGGCAGACGGGGCTAATAAGAGGCTACTCGAAAAGCTTCTCCTGGTCCAGAGGTCAACATGTCACTTGGGAGTTGTCTCTTGAGATCCAGCCCTGCCCATCACATGGGGCAAAAATGGATGCCTGCAGAAGGTACCAGGGAGGCGTGTGGGTGAGCTGTGGGCAGATGAGGTACCATCGGTTTGCCACACGGTGTGACGGGAAAACCTCACAGTCAGCTTAACTGGTTCACCACGGAAACACCTCTGGCTGTGGCTGTGAAGGTCTCAACAGAGCGGGCGAGGCCTGCGCTGACTGTGGGCAATATTCCTCTCTGCTTCCTGAGACACACCACAGTGTCACCAGTATGACCAGTATAACCAGCTCTGTCATGCCTTCCCTGCCATCCCCTGCAACTGTAAGCCCAAATACACTTTTCCTTCCTGAGGCTGCCTTTGTCGGGTGTTTGGCCACAGCGGGGGTGTTAGGGGATCATCTTGGGTTCAAGGTTGTGGTAACAGATGGATGGATGCTGTGGTGTCTGTCTGGTGGATGGATGTGTGGGTGACGGGGCGGGGGCAGAGTTAGGGAGGACTGCTCATGGAAGAGCTACTTAGGTTTGGGGACTCCCTAAGCTGTCTTCCCCGGAGTCAGCCACTCATCCTTTCCCTCCACCCTCCTGCTTCTCCCTGGCGGAAGGCACTTCATCCACTAGGGAGCACTTGTTTACACACCCAGCTCGGGCCCCAGCTGGCCAGGGAGTTCCGGGGTACCCTTTACCCTGATACAGTTGCAGTCAAAGTGGGCATCAATTCTCCCAGCTCAGCAGCAGTTAAGTGTTGAGACAGGTTTGCTCTTGGCCTCCAGCTAGGTCAGGCACGAAGAAGACTCTTGGAGGTCACTTGTTGTTTTATCCCTGCAGAGGAAGCACTGTCACAGACTGGGCTCCGGCTTGTGGAACAGCAAAGGGAAGAGTTTACAGCTGCCGTCAGAGGGTGGGAGAAACGGCCAGCACCAGGAACAGGCAGTGTGTCTACAGAAAGCCCTCGGTAGTAAACATGGGCCCGGGGAACTCAGGAACATGTGGACACACACTTGTGAACTGGTCAGGGCCTTCACAGGAAGTAGGAGAAATGCAGAACTTAAAGATTAGTAGTACAGTAGTACTGTAGTGCTGTGTGGCCACCTTGGGTAAGGATAGAGCCAGGCGCTTGGCGTTTGCTCAGTTTTGGCTTGTCTGCCATCTTGGGTCAAATTATCTGTATGCAAGCAACCTTCTTGTGCTAGGACAGCCATATCCCTCACGAGGCCACTGCGTCAGCCACCAAGAGGCTTTCCACTGGTTCATTCGAACTGTGTAAAGAATGCTATTATCCAGTGGATTTTGTTTATAGAACTCACATCCTACCTGGGCGTTGTGCGAACCCTGAGTGCTCCCTGCGGTGCTGGGGGGAGGGGTAGGCAAGGGACAGATAGACAAGGATGTCTGCAGAATTAAAGAGCCTACCAAGGTGCTGAGGCAGGGGCATGGGAAGGCACAGGAAGTTGGGGAGGAGCAGGCACATCATTCCTGGGGCTGAGCTGGATATAAATTCTGGGGTGGGGTGTGCAGGAGAGTGTCAATTGGATAGGTTGGGGCTAGTAACACTTTGAGGTTCAAATGCTGGGGGCGGCTGCTAACCCTCTCACTTTCTGGTTCATTCTTCCGACTGTAGAGTGGGTGCCAGAGCCTGTTGCCCCTTCCTATTTAGGCAAGACAGCTGCCTTCTCCACCTTGGGCAGTGGGAGAGGATAGTGGGCAGGCAGAGGGACCCTGGGAGACCTGGGCTGAGAGATGTCAGAATGAGGAACCAGTAGGCCCTGTCCTTCCTTCTCCTAGCCAGTTGTTACCTCCTGTCCCTTTGCCTTGAGACTGAAGGCCATAGGTCCCTGGGTCAGGCGATGCCACAGCTGGAGGCCAGGCATCCTGACTCCAGGCTTGAATACTCATTGTTCCTCCTTGGGCCGGGTCCCTGCAGGGACAACAAGGGCTGCTTGGCTACAACAAGGGCTGCTTGCCTAATCGTATCCTAGTGAGGTTCTGTTATCTGGTCACCCACAGTGTAGGTGGGGCAGCTGTGGCTGAGCCCCAAATTCCACAGCTAGGGGGCACACAGGTGGAGCTTTCTGAAGCTCAGAGCCTGGTCTGTTTCACCTCAGGGGGACTAGAATACCTGGCATCCTGTGAAGTGCAGGGTCCAGAGGTCCAAGGCTACCAGAGGATTCACCCTACCTGGAACCTTGGGAACAGATGCTATCTGACCCCCGGACTGAAACCTTTATAGGTATGGGTGTGTCTGCATGCTTGACAGGTCACGCCCTGTCTATTCCAGGGAATTCCCTGAGTTCCACTATCCATGGCCCTGGGCCAGGCTCACAGGCATCTCCCACTCATCATCAGTTGTGGGCCACTAACTTGTGCTCAGGGTTCTGCTGCAGGTGGCCCTCAAGTGCTTAGTGGAAAGCTCACTGTGGCAGGGTCTGGGCAGGACATGGAAGGCGGCCCTCTTGCTCAGCTCTGGACTCTCCAGGGGTTTTAGAATGAGCTGTGTTGATTATTTCGCTCTACTGTCTGTCTACTCCCTGTTTAAGACAAACCTTTCAGAGCTTGGGCTTCCTGGCAGGCATAGCTTGGATCTGTATCCAGGCCTGGTACCTGGGGATCTGGTTCCCAGCTGTGTTCAGCTCTTCACCCTGGACCCAGTCACACATTCTGGTGGGCTACAGACAAGACCTGGGGTGACAGGAGCAAGCAGGCCTCGTTTTCTCAGAATGGTGGCCCCTTCTAGCCCAGGCAGCTGTCACCCAGGCACTTGTGAGCACAGCCGGAAGAGGCAGGCCCACCTGAAGCCTCAGCAGGAACAGACTGCAGTCAGAGAGCAGGACTCTTAAATCAGCTTTATTTCCTCTAATAGACACTTTAGCATTGCAAAATTTTGCATTCTACAGTCTTACAAACTTTTATTATTAGCAGCAGAACAGAAACATCGCAAGACCTCAAAACACAAATAAATACCAAATGAAACCACACGTGACACACAGTAAACAGAATACGAGACATCATAATGCTATCAGGAGATGAGGCGTGCTGCTAACTCCCGGTCACATGATTATTGCTAAGCAAACTCACACTGTCTCAGTTTCTTAGAAGAGCATCAGAACACGGGGACGCTTAATCACTGGTCACGATCACTTGGACTGCCGAGATGGGGCCTCACAGCGAGCGGTTACTACAGACAGCATGTGTCAAAACAGGCAGATTAAAAATACGGTCAAATGAGAGATTGGCCTTCTTTGGTCTTTGTTTTTTGGGGTAATAGAACTGAACACAAGAGATGTGCCATGAGAGAAGAACGGAACTCTACAACAGTCTGCAGCTGTCTGCACTGACCCCAGCTTCCTCAGTCAGAGCGCCCACAGATTCTTAGGGGAATCCTTGGAAGGCCGGCTTTTGTGTTTTCCAATTAGGTCATTGACTTGCCTTTGAAGGTTATCTTACTTGACTAAGGGGACTAAGGGTGTACGTCAGTCACCACTGACTATGGAGTGGCACTGTGACCCTGGGCTTGTAGCCTCCTTTCTACAATGAGCTCACAAGGAAGACTCCAGACACGGTGGTGTGGCGAGGGAAATGGACCATACACTCTGCTTGGGAGCTGGGGCCTGCTTAGCTGTATGCTGGCTTTGGTGTGGGTCACTGCCTTGCCTGTCTGCCTAGTAATGGTGCCCAAGCAGACAACGGGCTAGGATATGTCCAGGTTTGGGGATGGGCTCCTGGCCTTTTTCTACTGTCCCTCTTAACCCAGCTCCTGGATGCCACAGTGCTTATGGGAGGCGGCAGCAGCCGGGGTGGGACAGTTGACACCGGCTGGGTCACTTGCCAATGATCACCTCACCTGATCAGACCCCTGTGAGCACGTTCTAGTTTGGAGAAAACAGCTGCTATGGTATATGCAAACCAAAAACAGAATCTTAGTCTGAGAAGATTTGGGGATCAGACCCTCATTTGTCACACACACTCAGACACAATGGCATGAAAGCCACACTAGCTCTCCTGTAGTCTAGCCAGTAAAGGGCTGGATTGAAAGTTAAAAAAAAAAAAATAGTACCCTAAGCTCCACCAAGCCCTTCTCCATACACTGATGGTCCCGAGCAGGGGATGTATGGGAGGGTAGGGACTGACCCACCCTGTCACCTGTCAGCGGGAAATGTCTCAGCCAGGTACAAAGTGCAGTCCCTGCAATGCTTGGCAGTGTACAAGGGGAAGGAGGTGGCGAGGGCCGTGCTGTTGGCCCTGGCATTCCCCCTGGTCTCCTCTTGGGCTGGCAGGAGTGGTCTACCCAGGACCCTGTTGCTTGGTGTGCCCAGACATCCTTCTCTTTGCTGGATGCTGTCCACTGGTTGCCAGGCCTGCCATGGGTGACTGCTATGTATACTGTTCAGTTACAGTGGTATCATTAATGTCAGGCCCAAGATAGCAGGCATAAGGTCCCAACTCCCGGTGGGACTGGGGCCGACTAAGGAGGTATGGGAAGGTGACTAGCTATCCACAGGAGCAGTATCTGACCGCTAGGTTCTCATGAGACTGACCACACGGAGTCTGATGGAAGTCATTTCAAAGGGGATCTGGTGGTGGTGGGTCTGAAGGCCCTGCTGGAGGTTGCCCAGGGAATAAAGCCACAGTGCTCTGGCCACAGCTCCCTGGAGTCCCAGTCCTTGGAGTAAATGGAGAAAAGAAAGAAAGGAGGCAGACGGTGGCTGTAAACAGACACCTTCCTCAGCTGATGGCTGTGCTGTCTGACTGTTGTGCTGTCTTAGGGACATGGTGCCATCTGTGCACAGGCTACTTTGGAAAGGGGGATGGATGTGGACTGAGATGCAGACCCTCTCAACAGCCCTTTGCTTCTTGGAATGCTGCGTGGGCTCTGCTCTCCTGTGTGAGCCCTCACACTCAGCGTGCTATACTCATTCCGTCTTACCCATCCCTCTCTCACATGCATGGCCTAGGCTGCCTCTATCTGTATCCAAGAGGTAACGGAGGCTCAGCCAGCGTGCCTCAAGGCTACCCTCCTCTCCCTGACCAACGAAGGTGGAAGGCCCTGGGTTGTTACTGACACAGGCTTTCAGCTACTCACAAAAACCACAGGCTGGGCCTCAGGACACACTGCCACTTAGTGGCCAGCATCTTCCCAGGGTCAGCTGTCAGCAGGTATGAACACCATCCCAGGCAAGCAGGAGTTGTGTCCAATTTCCCCATAGAGGTCATGGGACAAATGGCCCCTTAAAAGATGAGCAGTTGACACTTTTGCACAGCCAAGTACACACGCCGCATGACCACCCTGTGCGTCTAGTAGCCAGGACCCTGTGATATGGTGAGCGCTGGCTGCCAGGACTGGTGACAGGGCCTCAGCAACGCTGACACCACAGCCCAACAGTGGCCCCGGGTGGTGAGCACCAAGGAATCCTGAGACGGAGAAGAGCAAGGCACACCCAGGTAGGACACGACATGCTCCACATCTCCCAGGAGACGTGTCGTCTCAGCACGCCCTTCACACATGGAGACAGGGCACAAAGGTGTGAGCTTGCCCGCTACTCTACTTTACCAAGAAATGCAATAGACACAACACACTACAGGAAGCTGTGACATGCAGGGCCCTCGTCCCAGGGGCCAAGAGTCACATACTTTATATATATCCTACAGGCACCAGACGAGGCCAGGAGGGCCCACCTCACATAGGAAGGAGCCTTGTAAAAGCCTCACCAGCAGGGAGGGAGGGTCTGAGGACACCTCAGGGTCACCCTCATACCAGGCTCTGAAACCAAAGACAGGCATGCTTTCGTCAGATGTGATGCTGGTGGCCTACACCTACTGGTACTGCACTGACTTCTTCGAAGGTGGGGGATGCAGGGATGTCCCCGTTGCTGACATCTGCCCATGGAAAAGCTTCCTGAGGCCAGTCAAGGACTGCCGGGTGGTCCTCCCAACTCCAGGTCTTTGTGGGAGGAACCCTGGGGACAGGCCTAAAGGAAGAAGAGGGCACCTTTGAAAGAACGTGGGCTCTGCAGTCATTCCTTATGAGCGGAACCAAGGTCACTGACTTACCCCAAAGCAATCCCAGTAGAATGGAGAGAGAAGAGGAGCAGGGGAAGAACCAAATGCTTCAGCCATGGAAGGGCAGGGCGAGTGCTCGGAACCAAGAGGTCGCTCATGGAAGCACGGGGACAGGTGTACGAGAGGAGGGCACTTCCAGCAGGCACTGGGGCGAAGGCACACCCAGGACAGATGGCAGCACCAGAGACAAGGTGGGCTACCGGGCACCAACCCAGCTGTCCCCGTGCAACCATGGGGGGAGCCCAGAGGCAGGCAGTCTGAAGCGCGGGCCCAGCTGGCCAATTGTGGGCGCGCCTTTTGGGCAAGTGGCACAGATGTGGTGGTTCGCACACATTGGTTTTGCCTAAGAAGCACCCGTCACGTGTAGCACCCATCAGTGTAGAGCACCATGAAGTGTGGTGCATAGCAAAAGGGGCACCGGGGCAGGGCTCCAGGCTTCTCATCACAGTGGGAAACAGTGAGCTGAGAGGGCCGTCTGGACTAACCCAGGCTAGGGCATCAGCTGGCCACCCTCCTAACAGGGAGGCCAGGGCTGCTGTTGCCAGCCTGGGCAGGCCCCCAGACCCGTGGTCTCGGGAAAGCTTGGGGCAGGGGCACTTCTCCTTCATGCTGTGGGGGATTTCAGGGCCCTTGTAGAGACCTGGAAGAGGGTGGCTTCTGCTCACACCTCCCTCCCTTGGAGTGGGGCTGAGTTGCTCTTGGGGGCCTATGGTTGGAATCTGAATATTTAGCAGCAGAGGCTTCAGAAGCCGCCAACAGAGGCCTGGCTCCCCCAGGCAGGTTCAGAGTTGTCTGAGGGCCCTGGCAGAGACAGAGATCTGGTGGTGGAGGGAGAGATCTGGTTAAACTATCACTTTCTAGAATCATGGTGAATGCAAACCCAGGGACAAGAAGCAGCGTGTCACAGCTAAGGCACATGTACCGTATGCCACCATCTCTGAGCACGGACGTTGCTTTCGGAGAGCGCTAGCCGAATGCAGCAGTATGACAGGATGGGACGCCTGTTGGGGGCCTCCTGCGGCACAGGTCACCTGCCTATCCCCGACACCGGACACTGGAGACCAAGGCTGGTGCTGTCAGCAACACAGAGCTTGTCTAAACATGGGGCAGAATTTTAAAAACCTATAGGATTTTGTTTAGAACTCCAAAGTTCAACGAACGCCCTACTTTAGGGTGAAAACAATTGTAAGTCTGAGACGATGCATAGCATCCATGAGCGCTGTCCCTCTCACAGCCACTGTGAAGTAGTGTCACTAACTACGACAGGTACCGAAGGGCTACATTTCTAACGAGAAATAACAGCAGGTTGGATATTCTCTTTCCTATCACAAGTGATAACCAGTGTTTGATATTTTACATTTTCTTCCAAGAAATATCAGTCTGTCAACGTTTTAAAACAAAATGTTTGCGGTAACAATTATTTGTAGAACTTTAAATTAAAAATGACTTCTGAATTTAGAGACCTTATGCCTACTCAGGGTCTTCTGACAAACAAATTATTAAAACAGCGACCAGATGAGGCCTTAAAAATAGACAATATACTATATTTGAAACAAGATTGCACTCTTGGATTTTAGGATGAATATATCAGAACTGTATTATTATTTCATAAGTTCTCCTTGTAAGTTAACATGCTGACACATCCAGCTACCTCCACATGTGTTTTCTTTTTGGTGTTTTAAGTTAAGGAAGAAAAATCATGTTTCTTTTTAGCATATATGTTTCCACCTTAATTTAACTAGATCTTTTAAAATGAAAATGAAAACCTTCTCTGACAGCAGTATTTATCTTGTTGATGGATAAATAATTCTTCAGAGTGAGTGTGGCTAGTCTATTAGAAAATCTGTTGCGGTCTGTTTTCATATGTGGCTCCTCCTGCCAGCCACTCCTCCTCCTCCTCCTTCTCCTCCTCCGGCTGCTTCCTCTGTCCCACAAGGTCCTTTCTGAGGGCAAGGACCTTCGTGAAGACAGACTGGTTCAACCCCCCCAGAGGAGTTACCTTCTGCTGAATCCACCTCCCTGGTTTCTTGTCAGGGGTCAGGCAGATCCGAGGTATCCACTATGACTTTAATAAAAATTGTATCATCTTTAATATACGTCCCATTCTCTAGAACGGTTTGGGCGACAAAGACTGGGCAGCCAGAGGCGATGTTCATTTCCCCGGTGGGCTTCTTGAAGCTGCTGCTGTTGGGGTCAGGCTTGAATGCATCTCCCAGGTGACGGCGAGAGGACCCCTGATCCATCAGCATAAGTGTCACTTTCTGCTTGAACGGCCACGGCAACAGAGCATCATATTCTCCACGCATAATGACAAAAAACAGCGACAAGTGTGTCCCCTTCCCCATCCCGTCCCCGTTCAGGTAGACCCTGGCACACATTTTATATCCAAAATAACCTGTGTAGAAAGGCTGGCTGTAGAGAGACAGGGTCTTCCCCATGACGGCCTCCTGCTTCCGGCGCTTGTAGTCACGGATCTTCCAGATCAGCACACCGTTGTAGCTGGCGGTCTCGAGGACCTGGAACCGCAGGTCCATGTCGGCCAAGCGGATGTCATGAACACTCAACATCTGGTCATGCCGGCTCAGCTGGGACTCCAGCAAGCCTGCCATAGGCAAGAAAACATTTGGCAAAAGAGACAGGCAAACAGTGGAGCACACCTGCACCAGTGTCCGGAACAGCAGCCCATAGATGTCGTTGTGACTGCAGAGGGCGAGCATGTGCAGAGCAGACAAGGCGTGGGGCATCTGTGGCGCATCTTTCCTACCCTCTCCTCTGGTACCAACTGCCAGGCCACAGCTGTCATAGCCTGACTGCCTATTTGCCGTGTTCCCGGCCCTACAGTCCTGGTGTCCCAGGGACGCTAGGCTCTGACTCTAAGGTATCTCCTACTCTATTCTAACCACACACTTCCAGCTGTGTAATCCACATGTAGCACAGTAATCCACCCCTACTCCCTGATCCTTCCAGGAAAATCATCACTGCTCATTCAGGCTCAAAGCTACAGGTACACATCTGCGCGAAACGTCAGAGATACTTGGGCAATACTAGGCTGCCCATTTCCCTGCCTGGTCTGCTCCTGTCTCTAGGCCCTCAGGGTGTGTCAGGGGTACCCTGACCAATATGCCTTGATATCCTCATGACCCGCAGGTCACCTGTATTCTAGCCTCTGGAAGGGAGGGCTTTACACCCTGCCAAGCTGGGTCTCATGCAGAACAAATCTAAGTGAAAAACTGCTCCTACTGGAGGACTCGCATCATGCACTGCCTGTGCCTGGGAGCAGCTGCCTCAGACCAGGTACACTCACTCACCTGTGTTGCGAGCGGCCTGGCCCGCGCTTTTGTCAACGCTCTCTAACTCAGTCACACGGTTCTGGAGGGATTCCACACTGCTCTTCATGCTGTCTGCTTCCTCCCAGTTCTGCCGGAAGGGACGGATCTCCTTGTCGAGTTCCTTCAGTTTCTCTGCTTGGCTGTCTATTACTCGCTTCCAGACCAAAGGGGTTAAGGAAAAAAGCCAGTCAGAACTCTGAGCATGCTGTGCTGTCACCCCAAATGCAAGCTGAAGCTGTCGGTCCCTGAGAGGATATCCACTGGCTGAGAGCCACTACCTCCTGGGAGTCTCTGGGGATAAGAACTTGTATCGAGCACAGAGTGAAGCTGGAAACAGTCAGATCAAGATCTAGTCTCATGCAGAGGACCCGGTAGTGTGCCAGCCCATCCAGCCTGCATTTGTGTTTCAGCCTCCAGAAGAGCTGGGTGGATCAGATGGAAGGGGACGACACCCAACACCACAGTGTGCACATGGCCCAGAGTTGTCCTTTTTCCTGCCCATAGCTCCTACACAGCTTCACCAACTTAGGCCATTTCTGGGATGGCTACACTGTCTGTCACATAACTGCATCCAGACATCGTGTCAATGTCACACGCTCTCCTTTCAGAACCCTGGCTGTGACCCTGACCTCACACTAGCAGATGTCATCTCCCTGCCATCCTTATAGATATTTCACCAGAATGCTGTAGACATCACACCCTGTACCCAGATGTACCTCTGACACCATAGGAGGCCACAGGTACAGAGAAGGGACTGAGGTCAAAGGCTCATCTGACTAGTGAGGATTCTCAGGGCACAAGACCTCTGGCCCCTACCAATCAAAGGTTAGGATGATGGAGTCACAATGATGACCTAGCACCGTCTGCCTGTCCTGCTGCCTGGCTCAGGACAGAATGCTTCTGTCCTGTGACTAGAGGGGGACCCTAGAACTATGCCAAGGACCAGGGAAACAAAGAGCACATGGTACTCAGGACACAGCCGAGCACACGGTGCTCAGGACACAGCCTACCACCATCACTTCTTTTTTGGGAGTCTATTTTTGAAATGCTGAGTTTCTGTATCTTTGATGGCTGTGGCCAATCAGGATGGAATGAAGGAAGCAGGTCTGGGGTCCTTCACATAGAGTACAAGGCTAACGTGAATCTCCCTGTTCTTTCTAAGAAACCCGATACTGACATTTGAGAAGGATGAGGGGGGCCAAGGAGATGGTTCAGCATGTAAGGTCACTTGCTGTGCAAACACAAGTCTCTAGAATCCATGAAAAGGGCTGGAGGTGGCTGTATGTGTTACCCCAGCTCTATGAGGCTTTCTGGCCACCAGCCTACCTCCCGTCTAGTGACAGACCCTGTCTCAGAGGAATAAGGTAGAGGGTGACAGACCAGGACCCTTGACATCTTCTTCCACCCTCTGGGCATACATTACGTATAGACATGTGCACATATACAACCCTGCCCTCCACAGCATAGATAAGGTCTTCAGTCTTCAACAAACCTGCTATGTAGATGTCTTTATTTTTGGTTGTGAGCCTAGCCTTTAATGGCCGAGCCATCTTTCCAGCTCCATGTCTCTTTATTTTAAACAAGAATGTGTAATCGGAGGAATATCTGACTCTATAAGAACTGTTTTCTGTGGGCCAACTGTACTGACTTTAATGAACACTCACAGTCTTGGTGTCCTTGAATGAATTGCCCTCATAAAGCAAACTGTCACGGGCACTAGTAAGAAGGAAAAGCCTGGCTGTGGTATGGGAGATGGTGTTTGGTTAGAGGACCAAGGAGGAAGCACTGATTGGCTCCTCCCCATCTGCTGGTGACATGCATAGGAGGGGACAGGACCACTGCACTGACCATGAAGCTCTCCCAACTAGTGTGGGGCATTGCCTCAGTATTTGTTGGCCCATGCAGAGACAAGGGTATGCACTCTGCATGTAGGAACATGGTCCATACATCAGGTTCCCCCCGGCCCCCCACAACTTAGGGCTGCATCCTGGCAAGGGACTGTGCTACTTTTTCAGACAGACCTTTCACTTGCATAAACACCACAGTGTCAAAGCAGAGTACAGGTCTGTGTCAAGCCTTCTCTGTGAACAGCAAATGATTTAATACTTGAAATGCTTGGTGAACATTTAGCCACTGCAGTGTTTCTCTAAATGTGCACCCTAAGTGCAGGTGTGGAGTTAATTACAGCTTCAGGAGCCGGGAAGCAACAGTCTCACATAGAATAAATAGCCCAACTCAGGGCCTGCTTCTCGGGGCCTCAGATGACCAGCTGCATGTACTATAACTTCAGGACTTCAGTGACTGTCCTTTGCTGTCCCTTGTCACCTTAAGGTCAGTAGGTCACACAACCCTGTTCAGTGAGAGTGTGGGAGTGCTCAGTATGGCCTGTGGCTGTCCCCTGAGTGAGCCCCGCTGCATGAATCTCTGGTCCACTCAGCAACCGGCAGCAGCATGTGCATCTCAGCTCACGACTCAGCACCTTGCTTCCCTTCCCTTCCTTCTTAGGGTCATGGATTGCACTATGCTGCTGTTCAAACTCAAGGGATCCTCCTGCCTCAGCCTCTCAAGTAGCTAGGACAACAGACGTGCTAGTGAACCTGTCTTTTTGCTCTTTCAGTGTGTGTGTGTGCACACGTGCGCGTGCACACATGCATGTGTGTGTATCCCACTGCTCACATACAGGACTCAATTTTCTCCTTCTACTTAAGGACTTAACTTCTACTTAAGTTAAGGACTGAACTTAAGTTGTCAGACATAGTGACAAGCACCTTTACTCACTAAGCCACTTCTTAGCACACACACTCTCTGTCTGTCTGTCTGTCTGTCTGTCTCTCCCCCTTCCTCCCTCCCCTCCCTTTCTCTCAATATCCCTTAAAGTGTTCTAGATAGAGCCCAGTGCCTTAGGTGTGCTAGGCAAACACATCACCATTGAACTACACACTCAGCCCTTTTTAGTTGTTTTTTTTTTAAACAATTGATATATTAGTTTTTCCAGTTCTTTTTTTTTTTAATATTTATTTATTTATTTATTTTATTGATGAGTACACTGTAGCTGTCTTCAGACACACCAGAAGAGGGCATCCAATCTCATTACGGATGGTTGTGAGCCACCATGTGGTTGCTGGGATTTGAACTCAGGACCTCTGGAAGAGCAGCCAGTGCTCTTAACCGCTGAGCCATCTCTCCAGCCCCCCTTTTTAGTTTTGAGATGGGGTATCACTAAATTTCCCTGTTAGCCTTGGATTCTCCATCCAGGCTATAATTTAGTTTAATGATTTATTTTTATTTTATGTGCTATAGTGTTTTGTCTGCATATATGCTGTATGAGGGTGTTGAATTCCTTGGAACTGGAGTTACAGACAGCTGGGAATTGCTACATGGGTGTTGAAAACTGAACCCCAGTCCCCTGGAAGAACACGCTGTACTCTCAACCACTGAGCCATCTTTCTAGCCCCATGGCTACCATTTTGGTAAAGAAAAGATGGTTTGCTAGGCCTGGGGGCAAAGCTCTGTAATTTCTGCTCTGCTCTGGTCACTTGCTTGCTTGTTCTCCCTCCTTCCCTCCTCTTCTTCCTCCTCTTCCTCTTCCTCTTCCTCCTTCTTCTTCTCCTTCCCCCCACCCCTCCAGTTCTCTGTGTAGCCCTGGCAGTCCTGGAACTCACTCTGAAGATCAGGCTGTTCTTGAACTCACAAAGATCTGCCAGCCTCGGTCTCCTGAGTACCAGGATTAGAGGCATGCACCATCATATCTGGCTTTGTAATGTCAGCTACTAAAGAGGCTGTAGAAAGGGGGATCACAGGTTCAAGGCCAGCCCAGGCAATGACATGTGTTGAAGGCCAGTCTAGGTAACTTAGTACGGCACTGCCTGGAAATACAAAGTAAACAGGAGTGCAGTTCAACCTGTTCAAGGACTTGGGTTCAATCCCAGCACTTGGAGTGGGTTCAAAACCAGGACAAACACCTTTTTTTTTAGTGTGTGCGTGCGCACGCTCCAGTTCACATGCTACTAAGCTCGCTGCTAAACCGGAAGACCCGTGCTCCATCTCAGGAACTCACATGCTGGACAGAGAACTAAAGAGATGGGGAGACCCCCCTCTGACCCCCACATGCACGTGTGCACATGTGCATCTCGCCACACCATGTAATACAAACACTGAAAAACAAACAACACTTCCTGGGCCAGCAAAATGCACAACTGTATCAAAAGTACAAAACTGTACAAAATGTACAGAATTTTTATCAATTCCACTTCCTTTAAGTCCTCAGCGCCACACTCATGCAATGACCGTGCAGTCCAGGAGAGGGCACCACAGTCCCTGGAAATGGAGTTACAGACACCATGTGGGTTCTGAGAATCAAACCCCTGTCCTCTGAAAGAGCAGCCAGTGCTCTCAGTCACTGAACTAACTCTCCAGCCCTGCGAAAGTTTATGCATTTGTTGTTTTGGGAGTCTCTCTGGGTTATTATGTGAAATAAAGCTGGAAAGTGTGTGGGAAAACCCAGAACAGAGCAGTCGGGGTGGATCTCACTTCAGTACTGGGTACACAAGTGCTATGGGTAATGTCTCTTATCAGTGTATAGTGATAAAACCAGATCTACTCTCTCCTTTTCTGCAGTGGAGGGGATGGGACCTAGGCCCTGGGACAAACTAGATAAACAGATTACCACTGAGTGACATCTCATTTAGAACAGATCATTCTGAAATCAAGGTCTAGAAGCTTTACTCCAGTGTATTGAAGACACACAGGGTTGTTCGGTCAGCTTCCTAAGCAGGACCATGCTGACCCAAGTTGTCCCTGAATGTTCACACAGGCTAGAGAAGCCCTGGGCCTCTGTCTGCCAGGAACTCGGTGAGTGACTCCTGGTGGCAGGCAGGCCGCTCACCTGCAGATGAAGGATTTTGGACTCGTTGTTCCGAAGCATTTCTTTCTGTCTCTCGATTTCGATCTCAAAGCTGCATATCTGGTTGTGCAGGCTCTGTATGCTCTTGTTTTTTTCAACACTTTCATTCTGCAGCAAGGAGACCTGAGGAAAAAATCCTTCAATTAATTTAACAAAAAGTGGTTTGGTATTAATTAACAATAATGACAGTAATTAAACTTTCACAGTATAAGCTTTCTACTGGCTTCTTAAAAGGAGCCCAGGAGAAAAATCCCTCTACACAAAAAGGGGAATTCTGGAGAGCTAGCAGGGAGCCCTGCAAGCTATTTCTGTCTCTCCTGCAGCTGAGGGAGGTCTGTGGCAGGGTCAACTGAATGTCAGAACAAGGGGCTGGTTCTGAAAGTGCTCACTGTAAACAAACCTTTTACCGGGCTAGATTCTAACTTTTGGCCAGGGCACATAATAAAAAACAGTTTTATAGTTTACCCAGCTTATACAAGCACTGTGTGTACATCAGAAACATGGTCCTCACAGAATCACACCTGTTCTAAAAACACAATGGACTGGATATTTTCTGTTTTATTCTTTCTATTTGGGATAAAATAATAGTAATAAAAGCTAGTCCATAGAGGGCATCTCTAGCTGAGACAGGCAGGCACAACAAGACAGACATTGCCTGTTTCCACAACTTGAGCTGAGCCCAGAAGCAGAAGGAAGGGGCAGTGGGACCTGAGAGGCATGGGAGCCACCGCCACCTGAGGTTTCCTGGTCAATACAGTGACAACTGCTGCCAACGTGCTGACTACACTGAGCTGCTGAGACCAGATTTTAAATGTTCACACCATAGAGACAGTGAGGCAGCATGGGGCCTTTCAACTAGCTTTTAAAACCATTTTCTAACATATGCACCCCATAAAGATACACAATCACCATTGATCGATCTTTTAAAAATCCAATCATAGCCCAATGAATGTGATCTCATACCCTGCAAGGGCCCCGCCCAATAGTGTTACATCCCAAGGAGCGTGACTGGACTGAGGTTACACAGGTGTGAGGTTACACAGGCGTGTGCTCTCACCCTTGGGCCCACCCACTGTCCCCTAAGAAACAAACAGAGCTCACACCCAGAGAGACCCTGATGCAAAAACTCAGAAAAGTTAGCCAGGTGTGATGACGCACGCCTTTAGTCCCAGTGATTGGGAGGCAGATGTAGACAGATCTCTGAATTCAAGGCCAGCCTGGTCTACAAGGTGAATTTCAGGACAGCCAGGGCTACACAGAGAAACCCTGTCTCAAAAAAAACAAAAATCAACCAACCAACCAAACCAAACCACCAAACCACCAAAAATACAAAGAAAACAAACAGAGCAGACCAAACTTGCACGTCTCGTAGGCAAACATGCCTTCACTTTCCAAGATTATAGCAACACCAGCTTTCTTCCCGCCATGTAAGGCCAGAAGCTCCCACACTGTCAACTTGTAAACTTGTACTGATGCAGAGGGCAGCGGCGGCTTCACAAGGCCCTTCTCCAGTTACTGTTCCTCTGTCCCATCTGGACACTCAGACTGAGTCCCCAGACTCTTCGTGTTTTGTTTCTTGTTTTTGTTTTAAGATTTATTTATTTATTATTTATTGTATATGAATACACTGTAGCTGTCTTCAGACACACCAGAAGAGGGCATCAGATCCCATTGCAGATGGTTGTGAGCCACCATGTGGTTGCTGGGAATTGAACTCAGGACCTTTGGAAGAGTAGTCAGTGCTCTTAACCACTGAGCCATCTCTCCAGCGCTACCAGACTCTTCTTATCATTACCCTAAGTGGAGCTATCACTTTAAACAAGAATATCACTGATTCTTCTAAAACTACCAATTTTCCTGCACCAATCAAGTATTGGTTGAGCAGAAGCAACGAACAGGAACATGCACACACACACCAACTAGTCTTAGTTTCCTTCCTTTAGAATTTCCCTTATTTGGACAATGAGTTTGCACTCATGTTAGAGAGCAAAGCCCTGGAGCTCTGCACACGGTTGCCTTCACCTGGCTCTCAAATGACCGCCGCTGAGGTTGCAGATGGGTGTGTTCCAGACACACAGCATAACCACTCCCCACCAGTAAACCCGGGACCTACCCCCACAGCTTTAAAGCATCCTTAACCTTAGTACTCCCTGGGCTGGTGTACTGAAGCCAGCACACACCTCAAGAGTCACTAAATTCCTGTGCTGCCGTGAATGAAACAAGAAACGAACGATACAACCAAAACAATGACTTATTCTTTTGAGACAGGCTCTCAGGGAGTCTAGGCTGGCCTTGAACTTGCCCTGTAGTTACATAGGACCTTGAACTTCTGACCTTCTCTCCCTCTACTTCATGAGGGCTGGGATTACAGGTTTGTGCCCCACCACTTGGGTAAAACTAAATAAAAGGAAGAGCCTTTGAGACAAGGTCTCTCTGTGTAGTCCTGTGTTCTAGAACTCCATCTGTAGCCCCGCCTGCCTCAGCTTCCCAAGTGCTGGGATTAAAGGTGTATGTCACCACCACATGGCTCTTGTCAGCTCTTTTTTTTTTTTTTTCCTTATCAGTTCTTGATCCTTTTCTGCTACAAGTTTTTAATCAATGTATACTGACTGTAAGGGAACCACAGTGAGTGTGAGCCCATGGCCATCTCTCCTGTCAGCTCTTGCTTTGCCTTTCTCTCATGGAAACACCGTCCTGCTGTGGGGTGACCACCTCAGAACAAGTGCAAGAGCCAGGCGCCCTCTGACTGGAAGAGGCTCTGACTGCAGGCTCTCAGCCCCTGGGGAGGAGGGGCTGTTGGTAGTGGTGCTGTCTATGAAGACAGTCCAGCCGCTAAAAGAACTAACTGCAAACAACAGGGTCTTACACACAGCTGTAGATCATGTGACACTAGTAACCAGAGACGTGGGGCTGGTCAACTTGCTCTGTGAGGAACCAGATAATATCTGGGGTTAAGAAGTCCAGCCCAGCCGGGCGGTGGTGGCACACGCCTTTAATCCCAGCACTTGGGAGGCAGAGGCAGGCGGATTTCTGAGTTCGAGGCCAGCCTGGTCTACAGAGTGAGTTCCAGGACAGCCAGGGCTATACAGAGAAACCCTGTCTCGAAAAACAAAACAAAAAAAGAAAATAAACACAGAAAGATTATGTTTAAAAAAAAAAAAAAAAAAAAGAAGTCCAGCCCATCAGTCTTCATGGTGATCAGTGCCAAAGCAACCAGAGGTAATTCACCTGTGGGGTGGTCACTTGTCACAAAACTATGAAGCTGAGTACCAGAGGATGGAAGTTGGGACAGTCTTTGTCCTGGATCAATGCCTAAGATCACCCATAAAGGAAAGGAAGGAAAGTGGACGTTGTCGGTTACTTGTAGTTGAACAGGGGCAAACACTTCTTCACAGAAGTCCAAGATTCTAGAACAGAGCCGACTCTCCTGCCAATCTCTTCACGCTGGCCCTTTCATTTAAGAACCATTGGGTAATTACAAAATAGATTCAGTCTATAAATAGTTTGAAGCATTACACACCTGACAGAAGCCAAGAGTGCCCGCCTACCTTCTTCTCCAGGGAGTTGCTCCATTCCTTCAGCAGGTTCACGTGCTGTACCGCCGAGCTGGCCTCGTGGGCCTTGATCTGCTGGTTTGTTCCCTGCAAGAGCAACCACGGGTGACCGAAGCCAGTCATGCCACTCAAAGAACAGGAGACCTAGCACACAACTCTACAAGCAGCTACACAGGAAGGGCCTGTTTCTATGCAGGGCTCTCAGGGGCCCTCGCTCAGGGCCTCCTAGGCCATAGTGCAGGGAGCACCCCAAGAACACTTCGGTGCTGCAGAGCTAACCTCAAGGTCATGCTTCTCACCGGTGTTTCATACTTGCAAAACCAAGGAATTAAATTAGAAACGTATCCTGTTCCTTTACAAATCATTTTCATGAAGAGATACAGAGAGAACGTTCTGGAACCTGCCGAACGAACGCTACAGGGGTCCAAAGAACTATGGTACAGCATTGTAACCAGAAAGGCACCGCCTCAGCAGGCTGAGGGTGCTGAGAAATTTACATAGAAAACATAGACAATCTACAGAGTACATAAGATGCAGACCATTCAAGCCAAGAGCAAGCACATTAAGTGGTACTTTGCATATTCAAGGAAACAATTAGTCTGAGGATAGAGTTTGTTTTGGTACTAGAAAATTAAGAAATCAGAAAAGGTGTTTTCATGATCTCCAAAACACATACTCTGTACATAGAGTCTGCCTCCGTGTATGCCGACCTGAGCGTGGCTCTGTACCGGCATACAAACGCGCACACACAGGATGGATGGAACTACGCACAACAGGACACGGAGGTGCAGGCGCCTCCTGGACTAACGCTAGCAAGGGAGGACCTCACGCTCACTCTCAGCATTTCCTCTTCTCAGTAAAAACTACGACAGTGAGTTTCACCATCTCTGTACCGACGCGGTAACAACGAGCCGTCGATACGTAAAACTAAGCTTGCAACACTGTCTGTGTAACGCATTTTTGCCTTCTGATAGATAAATATTAGGGTATATATTTGAATAAAAAATCTTGACTCGCTAGAAATCCCTATTTTAAAAAAAAAAGAATAGAATACCAGATATAGGTTTCTGACGATAATGCTGTTTCCCAGGAAGCAGGCTTTCTACGGGCTTTGCTCAGTCAAATCCAACCTTGGCAGGCGGCAGAGTCAGCACACATGTGTAAGCAAAGTTTTATGGACACCCATGTGTGATTCTTTTTTGCTAAGGACTGACAAATGATGTCAAAGCTACATCTAGTTTAACAGTCACTGATACTTGGTGACTCCAGCAGATGTCACTGCATTCGTCCTTACTGTCGGAGGAGCTGTCTGCAGGGCACCCATGCTGTCCACCCGAGTCTCAGAACACCCTGGCCTGGCAAGTGAGCACCCACACCACTGCACGCATGTGGCCTTTGCACTCAAGTAGCAGGTGATCTGGTTTCATGACAAGGACTAAAAGAGTGAGAACTCAGATGTTGAAGTATTATGAGAACTTGCTTCAATGGCGGATGTCAGTAACTGGGAAGGACAAATGTTGGATACTGACCTGAAAAACGCAGCCATAGCGCTTAAAACTACAGGTGCTGGGGGCATTGACACACTCGGACAAGTGTGCACTCAACTGCAACGGGAAAGAGACGTGAGTTGTGACACAAACGTTTGCATGAAAATGTTCAAACATATCAGGGCACAGAGAGCATCCAGGCTATGCTGTTAAGAAGGCTGTTTATCAGCTGTGGGTGTGTACGTGTTATCTGCTTGCTGGACTTCAGGCAGTAAAATACAGTTTCATCACAAGTATGCACGTATACACACCAATATACATAAATACGTTTACTGCAACAGTTCTTAAACTTCCAATTCTCTTAGAACGAATTGTTCAAACTGTGACATGCCGTCTGAAGTGCCAGAGTTAAAAGGGGGAAAAAAAAGAAAAAAAGAAAAAGAAAAAAGGAAAACAGAATGCACATTTAAAGACTATTAACAAAAACTGTATGAAACACAAAAAAAAAAATCAGAAAGCATTTGGGATACAATTGGGTCACACACCTACTATACAGTGGACAAAAATAAACCCATTTCCAAAGCAAGCTCACATAGGAACAACTAGTGGCTGGAGGCGAGCCACTCCTTCACTGAAGAGCCTTTTTCCTGCACATTTGCAGCTCATAAGCTTCCAAAGATTTCTGCAGCAAGTCTAACAACAGGAATCTTATGCTGTCTCAACTGACAGAGGGAAGATTAGGAGTGCCTAGAACATTCTAAGCTATCTTGAAAGAAAGCCTCTTCTTGTTTAGCTCCAGGATGCCCCAGGCAAGAGACAAGGGAACTGAGAATATGAATCCTAAAGACACCCATGTCTGCCTGGGCTTGTGTTGCTGTGGGCTGGGACGCTCATGTCCTGTCCGAAGCCTTCTGACAGCTCACGCTCTTCAGCATCTGTGCAGATGTAGTGGGTGCAGGTTTGTGTAGTTAGGAATCTTGCTCAGTCTACCAGAACCAGGGCAGTTGTTCTCTCTGCTTGGTGTTTAGGAATGAGGCAGACAGGGACCTATTTCCCCTCTGCTCACTGACCCTTCTAAAACAGCTCAGGAGAAAGGCAACCTAGAAAAGGGGCCTGAGGCCCCACCACAACCAGCCATATGGCAAAGTTAGCCAGGCAGTTGTAAAGACCAGCGTCCTAGTATCCTGCAGTTGTCCTGGACTCGGAGGAAGTTCTAAGAAGGTCTCACAGGCAGGTCAGCATGGACCCGCACATGGAGACTCTTGTTCATAGTTTGTTTAAACCTTTAAGAGTCTTTCAAGGACACTGTTACAATTACAGACAGGGCCAGCTAACACTCCTAATGCTATGACCAGGGCGCGCTGTTCTGACATGCGCTGTTCTGATATGTGTTTCTACAGTAAACTCACTGCCTTACCTTTTCCTAACCTGGTTTTATTATCAGTATACTCAGAGCCCTAGAGAATGTACAGAAGAGATAATGCACACCGCAACAGCTCCTTTCACTAGAAACCAAGAAAAATGCAGTGTAAAGTTTCATTTTGAGATAAAAGGAACTGAGGGGCGAATTCTCATCTTAATTCAGAGCTGTGAGCAGACAGACTTGAAGTAAGGGTTATAAATTCTGGGTCGCCTCGGCAGTTAAACTCACAATACATTATCAGAAGGCTCTCCTAGTGTCCCTGTGTGGATCATTTACTTGTTATCCCAACAGGTCCTCCGAGGGGCACATTTGGAGTCCTGACACCGACCTTACCCAACTTCTTCCAATTGCCCAGGAGGATGCCCAGGCTTCTGGAGGCTGGCTCCAAAGATGAGAGCAACCATGGGGGTTCCAGGTCAGGTCTCATGTAACAAATGTTGGAAATCAGGACTGGAGAGATGGCTCAGTGGTTAAGGGCACTGACTGCTCTTCCAGAGGTCCTGAGTTCAATTCCCAGCAACCGCACGGTGGCTCACAACTATCTGTGATGGGATCCGATGCCCTCTTCTGGTGTGTCTGAAGATAGCTACAGTGTACTCACATAAATAAGATACATAAATCTTAAAAAAAAAAAAGATTGGGAATCCCTGTAATTTTCCATATGGACAGATCCAATGAGACCAATGATAAACATCTACCCGTTTTACAGGAGTACCTGGGCAGGGTGCGCTGTGCAGTCGCTGGGGCTCCTCCCACATGCCCTTAAGGATGATCTAAGACACAGATGCACTCAGCACCTCCTTCCCATCTAGCACGGCCCTGCCCTGGAGGTCAGAATTGTTCTCGAAGGTCTGAATTCACCCTTCTGAGACAGTCTCACAGAATCCATTGTTTTGTAGACTTAAAACCAGTGCTTCAAAAAACCCTTGAAGTACCTCCTTTCCTTACACTTGTAGAGAAAGTATTCACATTTTTTTCAATTCTTAATATTTTCAACCCTGAATTTACCTTTTGTAACTTTTTGTTTTCGTCTGACTTCTACAAACTCCCTGTCAGTTTTGTCTTTCCTGTTACACAGATTACCACAGTCAATCATGAAGACTCTAGAAGCCTGTAACTTGGAAGAGTGCAGCCTACAGTACACCGGACCCAATGTCACAGGGCTCCTGCCTGGGCCCTGGCTGTGCCTTACCTCACTCCTCAGGAGAGTCTGAACACTGCACTTGTGAGGGCAGGACACCACCACACAGGGACAATCCGTGTCTTCATGTTTCTACAAAGAGAAAGGAAATACTGCAACTCTGGAACACAAAAGCCCATCCTGGCCGATGACCACCTGCTCTCTAACATAGAAACAAAGGAAACCTGGTCCACCATTACCATGTGACATTCACACCAGAGCATGAGAGTCTGGAACCTTGAGACATCAGGGCACAACTGACTCAGAGGGAACTTGTAAAGAAGACTGTTGGTCCTCATAGAAGCAGGAGGAGGGGAATGAGATAGGGGGTTTCTGGGGTGGGAAATGGGGAAAGGAGATAACATCTGAAACATAAATAAATAAAATATCCAATTCAAAAAAAAAAAAAAAGAATACTGTTGGTGGCATCTGACCACCAGCTTCCTCCCCCGAAGATCACAGGTCAAGGCCCTATGGACAATGTGGGGTTGGTCAAGTGCCCACCCTCACTGTGGAGTCTGGACAGGACACCCCTCTAACATGGGAAAATGGCAGTTTCTTGGATACTGTCCTGAAGTCTTACCAAGATCATCTTTAGTACACAAGTATGGATAAAGTTTGGTCTATGCCCTACTGAAATGGTGTGACTGTTAGCTTTGTAGCAGACAGACAGGGACTGTTAATCTCAATGCCAGGAGTACGAGGCAATGTGTAGTCTCTGGGACTCCATAAACAAAGCAAGGGCAAGAACTCTGCCCAGGACATCACACCTGAGGGCCCAAGAAAGCACCAGGAGACCCACACTGAAGGCAAGGACAGGAGTGCCAGCCAGCAGCTACTGCTGGGTCAGGACACTCAGCAGCCCTCCAGGGCCCTGGGACACTTAAGTCTCAGTAGGTTCTCTAGTTCCTTGGGCCTTGGGTGACATTTGTCTTTAGGTGGATGAATAGCCAATGGCATTTGCTCCAGCCTCAGTTTAACTAGGCAGGTACAGGGCCAAGACAGTGGCCATATAAGGGAAGTGTTTAACAGAGAACACTGACCTGCGAGGGGACCAGGCTCAATCTCATTGAAATCTTGAAGGCCTGGGCTTTCTAGGTAGGCACCCTGCATATGCAGAGCAGGGTCTCAGAGTCTCTCAGAGTACCTGGTGAGTAAGTCCACAGTCATTCCTTACTGACTGGACAGGGAGAGCATAATCATAGGCCCTCCCAAGGGAGAGCCTGCACAAGGACCTATCGTGGGGTTTGCACGGTTCCAGAGTTTCCAAGTACCACAAAGTCAAGGCATTCTGCATGTTCCAGTGGAAAAACACCCAAGAACGTGCCTTGCTTCTCTGATACCTACCATATCTGTAAACTAAGTGTGAGCAGATCACCCTCCCATGAGCCAAGGCTACAGAGCAGCGTGGGAGCTTGAAACATGCTAAAGGCATCACAGGGACTTTGTCGGCTCCTAGAACATATACACTCCCATCCTTGTTCCTGGGCTGGACACCTGCCTGTTGACTTATCAATATAGGCAGAGAGGTGGGAGAAGACCAGAGTGGCATTGGAGGACGTAAGGTAAAGCAGAGGGGGTAGACAGGCCAGGAGGTCAATGCCAATATCTTTGTACGTACTTTTGCATACTTATGTGAGAATATCTGGAAGAAGGTTTTAAGAGTATCAAAGGATGCACAGTTTTAAGATAGATTTTGATGAATTGTTGCCAAATTGCCCTCCGATAACCTGACCCCAGGCTGGAATCCCATTATCACAGGAAAGCATATTCCTGCACTTTGCCAATTCTACCACGTTCTCTAATCTAGGGCAGTCTAAGGGGAGGATACGAGGTGGGACCCTGCTGCTCAGATACTATGAACTGGGGCGTTTCTTCTTACTAATCATGAACATTTCTTTTCGTTGAATTGCCTGCCCAGGGCTTCTACCCATGAAAGTGACCGACTAGTGTCCTCCTACAACACTGTTCACGCCCATTCAGAACCTATGAATGGGACCTTCCTGGGTCTGGTTCTTTGCAGCTGTCATGAATTAGGACAAGGCCAGTCTCATGACAGAGACAGAATAGGAGTGTTGTATCTACTAGTCAAGGGCCAATGGCAACCAAGAGAGTGTAGGAAAGGGAAGAACGTACCCTCTCAGGGATGCTGCTGGAAACACGGCCCTGCCAACATCTTGCTTTCTGATTCTATTTTCTTTTAATTTGTTTTATTTAATTAATGTTTAAGTATTTTCCTTCTATGAATGGCTATGTACCACATGTGTGCCAGGTACCTATGAAAGTCAGAAGAGGGAGTTACAGATGCCCATAATCTGCCATGTGATATTTAGCAACTCCGTGTTGTAACAGCCAAAGGAAAAGATGCACCATTAAAAACACAGGTAAAACCCTGGGCCAAGCACGCATGTGGTACGCGCCTTTAATCCCAGCACCTAGGAAATACAGGCAGATCTCTGTGAGTCTGAAGTCAGCCTGGTCTACACAGCAAGTTCCAGGGCAGCTGGGTTACATGAGACTCTGTCACAAACAAAGCAAAAAAAAAAAAAAAAAAAAACTTGATACATTTCATAGTGGTTTGTGGGAACATGGGTTACCTAGAAACAGTGTAGCTTTGAATCCCTCCCTGTGCCTCTTGAGTCCTGGACTGCAGGTGTACACTCAAGCCTGGCAGGAATACAAATTTGATCACACATGTATGCACACGATCAACCTTTTCCACCTACTTCATGCTTAATCGTGAAGTAACCACTAAAGCAATGCAGAATTCTGGATTTCTGTCTTTCAACTAAAGCCTTCATCACACAATTATGTATGCCTAACATACTTAACATCTCTCAGCCGTGAAGTGTGTCATTCACTATACAGGGTATACCCTGTACAGTGTATGGACCTGTAACACACACTGCACTGCCAGCCAGCAGGACGCTACTGACAGTGTCTACAGTTCTTGTTTGTTTGTTTGTTTGTTTGTTTTTTCGAGACAGGGTTTCTCTGCATAGCCCTGGCTGTCCTGGAACTCACTCTGTAGACCAGGCTGGCCTCAAACTCAGAAATCCGCCTGCCTCTGCCTCCCAAGTGCTGGGATTAAAGGCGTGGGCCACCACCGCCCAGCACTGAATACAATTCTTGTAGCAAATCATATTTTAATGAAGTCTGAGAACAAGCCAAATGAAACTCTTCTGTTAAGCATAACAGTATGTTAGAGTTAAAAAAAAAAAAATCAAAAGATCTGGGCATGCAATCCTGGCACTAAACAGAAGAAGAGACCCAGAGCAAGGCCTAGAACCTCTCTAGTTCTGTAAGGAGAGAGTGTGCGCTGCTCTGCCAGTGTCAGGACTGTGCGGTGTCACTGAGGGGGACATGCAATGATGTGAGAGGTGAACATTACTTAGAATCATTGCTGGGGCTTCAGACACATGGCTTACAGGCAGAATGCGTGCCTAGCCCAGCATGCTCAGCGCTCTGGCTTCAGTCCTCAGTACGGGTGTAAGGGACTAAAGGCTAGAGAAGAAGGTAATCCAGGCCTTGATACAAGCAGGTAGTGCTGGCACACACCCACAGTCTCAGTACTTAGGCGGCGACGGCAAGAAGACCAGGAATTCACAGACATCCTCACATATCTAGTGAAATTAAGACCAGCCTGGGCTTTTTTTTTTTTTTTAACAAGAGCCTATTTCAAAATAGAATGCAAACAAATGGCCGTAGTGGTATCACACGCTGGTGACTCCAGCTGCTTAGGAGACCAAGGCAGGATGCCAAACTTAAAGCCAGCTTGGCTGAACTGCTGATTTCCAGGACAGTCAGACCCTGTCTTAAAATAAGAAAAATTAAAAAGTGGTTTCTGAGGATGGTCCTGAGTTCAATCTTTAGTAACTCGAATGAAGCGAAAGCAGTAACGAAAGCATCCTAGCGACGCCATCAAAGCTGCCTGCAGCTGCTTCCCTCACAAAGGCCTCCGACATTACAAGGAACAGCCATTTCTGAGGGAACTTCAGGTCTCTGCCTTCCAGTCCAACTTCCTTTCCTCCAATCTGGCTGCCAATTAAAAACCCAAATGAGACAAGCTCCGCCTCCTCTCTGACCTTCCCTAGCCCTGTCTCATGAGCTGTCCTCCTTACTGGTGTTTTGTACACATTATGGTCACAGTTCTTTCCACACTACAGAAATTTAACTGTGTGCCTCATTCTCCTTCCTCAGACTGCAGACTGAAGATAGCAGACTGAGGATAACATCCAGTTATCCCCTTTGCTGTGGACACATGGTTAGCCACACACCCTTCTGACTCTTAGAGCCTTGCCTAGTGTTCAGAGGTGGCAACTTACGTGGTATTTAGCTGACAGGTTTTCAGTTCCTTCTCAAATAAAAATTAATTACTTGACTCTGCTCTGCAAAGAACTGACTTCTTCAGGAAGCAAAGCGTATCTCTGACAGCAGTACACTAACACTGGCGACCTGAACGGCACCCACTCCCTGAGTGTCTCACTCACCATAAGTTTGCTACGACACATTCTAATGCTACTTCCCAAAGGGGAAGATACAGTCCTTAAAAGCTCCCAGTAACTGGGAATGTCTATGGTACTCTATAAGAAAAATATTCTCAGATAATGTGAGGCCCAGCCTCAGACACGGCTGGTTGGGAGAGAATGGGAGAGAGGTTGGCTGAGATGGTAGAGAACTCAACTCTTTCATGGAGTAGGGACTCTCCTACACAGTGGCCATGATGTGTTCCAAGATAGATACCAGAAACTCAGCCATGGCCTTGTGCCCTAGCTATACTCTAAGAGTCCCCCTACCAACGACCTCTACACCGTGTCCTATCAAGAGAGGTCCCTAACTGCTCAGCCTCTCAGCTCTGCTGGCACTTCCTAAGTCCCCTCTTAGCAACCCAAAAGCAGTCCATGTCCTGGAATGTCATAGCACACAGTAGGTACACAACCAATGTTTACTCAGTGAGTGACTATTTTTAAAACTGTTCCTCTACCCTCAGTGTCTCTTTCGTCTTCTACACAGAAGTGATGATTCCAGCGCGTGCACAGAGCAGACCGTGCCAAGACAATGAGGCAGGAGAGCGCTTCCATCCTCAGCCTAAGATAGACAGCTGCCTGACACTGTAGGGTAAATGAGCCCGCTGTAAGTGATGGCTGTGTCATACAGCTGTGGGAAGATGAGCACTCCATCAAAATTTGAGGCTATTCTTTGGGACAAGTTACAAATTCTACCTTTTTTGAATCATCATTCTTCATTTTTTTGATATCTCAAATGAGTCAATCAAGGCAATGGAAAATGTTAATCATATAAATCAAAATAGGCAAAACAAATACAGCTTTCCTCTGAAATAAAGTTAGATGAAAATTGCTATGTAGTCCCCTCTCCCTTTCTCCTCGTTAGAACCGTCATCTCTGCTTCAGAAGTGCACCTGACTGAGCAGAGGGACAGGGACAGGCAGCAGCGCACCTGCAGTGTGATCATGGGAACTTGGCTCTTGCAGTGGTTGCACGTGGCCTCTCGGTATTTACAGGCCTTTTCCACGTGATCCCGCAAGTCTTTTCTCAGTACTTTTTCTTTGCAGTCGGCACGCAGACAGGGAAGTTCCTCAAACTGACATTCATTTTTTAGGTGCACCTGTAGAAGAAAGCAAAGTTCTTAACTGGCAGACAGTACAAGTGGGAAATGGCAGACTGTACCTGCTGTACAATGAGGTCTGCAGAACACCATGACCTTGCTCTCGGGACAGTTCTGTGCAGCAGAGTGGCAAGCAGAGAGGCATAGGCTCACTGTGTGCATGGTTTCCTCAACACATGAGTTACCATAACTAGGGTGGGACGTCTCTGATAACAACTATTCTAGCAAGATGGGGCTATGCAGACCTGAAATCCCTAGCAGAATGGGTTGAGACAGGGGAATGCCTGAACTATATAGCAAGACCCAGTGTCAAAAGGTGTACACACACAGACACACACATACAGACATAGACAGACAAACACATACACACACAAACTCCTTATTCTAATTCAATTATCCACTTTGAATAAAATACACAAATAAAAAAAACCTTAAGTTCTATGAAGTTCCATGGTAGAGATAAAGTTCTAAAGTGCCTTGGAAAACAAAAAACCCAAGTCCAACTTTTTTATTCGAAACAGGGTAGAGGATAAGAGTTCACTGATACAGTGAAGTGACACTGTGTGTCCCAGGGATTGGACCGTTCCCTGCACGGTGCTGTGTTAAAGGGTAAACACAGCACTATGGTGCACACAACGCTACACTGCCGTGGTGGGCACACAGTTGGGCGAGGTGAAGCAGCGGCCCCCTGTACAGACCCCTCTAGTGGCCCTTGGTGCTTACCAGCAGATGTCCCAGCGTCAGCTGCTCCACACAACCTCTGCCTTCATTCCGACAGTAGATCTGCAGGGCCAGAATCTCTCTCTTGCAACAGTTATCCTTAAACACCTGAATTCAAAAGTAGTTAGAGGATTAGTACTTCCTAATCTTCACATGCTGCAATTGTGGACAAGGCTAAACCACTCTAAGGATCCTAAGAGTGACTCTTAAGTGGGCCTTGGAAAGCATTAGGGACCATCTTCATTTCCGTGAGTAGAATGAAGGCGCTGGCCCCACTAAGAGACACTGCTGAACTCAGAAAGCTTTAACCACTATGTTTTATTAGGTAAGCAAAAGACCTCCGGGTGAAGTCATTCTAGAACACGATGGTCCTTGAACACTGACCCGGCCTCTGGACAAGGTAGGCTGGAGCTCCCAGCCAACAAGGAGCAGATGGCCCTGGAGTGCACCGCTTGCCAAAGGACTTGGCAACATGCTGGCAACTCAATACGCTGTTCAAAAAGCTTATTAGAGAATCAGACCAATCGCTGTAGAGATGATGTTTTGGGACAATCTGTAAAGCAATTTCGGTTCCCTCTTAGTGAACGCTGCTTATAACTCAGGTTTTTTTTTTTTTTAACCAAAGATTGCTTTCTTTTTAATTTCCTTTTTCCCTCAGCACTGGAGATGGACTCCCCAAGGCCTTGAGCATGCTAGGGAAACATACCACTACTTAGTCCAAAGGAAGCTTTAAATAAATGCTACAGGGATGAGCTGGTACTGAACTATCTTCCTAAAAATGAACACCTGCTTGTCTTTAATTTTATTTTCCTTTAGAAAACAAGCAATCTGCCTCTAACAACAGTCTACATCATTTTAGTCTGCAGGCATTCCTGAGACACTCCCGCCTGTCAATACTTAGCTCTTCCTAAAAGTCCAGGCTGGTAAGCTTTAAAAACAGAGACGCCTCAGTCAGTAAAGTGCATGCTACACAAGTATGAAGATCTGAGTCCGGGTGCTGACACCTGCACACAAATCACGGGTGGTGGTATTTGATCCTAGTGTGTGTGGGGGGATGGAGGGGGAATATGATCTGGAGCTTATTGGCCAGCTAGTCTATCCAATCAGCAAGCTCCAGGGTCAGTGATAGGTCTTGTTTCAGAAACTAAGATGGAAGCTGCTGTAGTGGTCTATGCTTTTAATCCCACCACTCAGAAAGCAAAGGCAGAAGAATGAGTCTGTGAGTTTGAGGACAACCTGGAATGAAACAGAGATATTTAAAAGGCACCTCAGCTTGTAGCTTTATCATCTTTCTCAGTCACACTTGTCAATTCTTGAGAACAAGGGAGGCACACTGCCATTTAAGAACAGGCACGGGCTAGGCGACCTGCTTCCTAGAACAACTGACTGAAGTCTTCAGCAGCAGATATGCTATCCAGAACAAGGTTTTTTTGTTGTTTTTGTTTTTTTCAAGATAGGGTTTCTCTGTATAGTCCTGGGTGTCCTGGAACTCACTCTGTAGACCAGGCTGGCCTCGAACTCAGAAATCCGCCTGCCTCTGCCTCCCAAGTGCTGGGATTAAAAGCGTGCGCCACCACTGCCCAGCTACAGAACAAGTTCTATCAGATGCCCTTCTTCCCAGAGCCCAGGGATCAGGGACCTTTGTGGCCAGCAGCCTCACCGGGGCTGTCCTGACCAGCAAGTCCAGTATTTGCAAATGGTTTTGACAGGAAACCCCAGAGCAAGATTCTTAGTGTGGAATTTAATAGCCTGCATTTAAAAATTGTTAGGTTCATTAATCAAAATATTGGAATCACACACACTTTTATTGATATTTAAATCCTTAAGAAGGAGTTGTTTCAAGCTACAAATGTACCTGGAAGGGCTTAGCAGTATGTGGCTGGCCATGGGCCAGAGAAAAGGGGAGGGATTGGATTCCTCTGGAAGAAGATAGGGGAGCCTGCTGCACCACTGTCAAAACTGAGAGCTGAGTACTGTGGGACATGCCTGCAATCCTAGGAGGCTGAGGCTGGAGGCTGTTGTGAGTTTCAGGACAGCCTGGGCTGCATAGGAAGATCCAATCTCAAAAAATCAAAACAAAGGAAAAACCAAGGGCCTTGCCATGTGTGAAGGCAGAGGCAGAGAGGCAGAGGGGCAGAGGGGCAGAGGGGCAGAGGGGCAGAGAGGCAGAGAGGCAGAGAGGCAGAGGCAGAGGCAGGCAGATCTCTGTGATTCCAAGGCCAGCCAGAGCTGCACAGTGAAACCCTGTCTCAAACTAACACACAAAGGACTGGAGATCTACCTTAGTTAGTGATGTGCTTACCTAGAACACCCAAAGCCCTGAGACAGATCCTCAGCACTGCAGAAACTAGATGTGGGAGTGTATACCTGTGATCCTGGGTCTTGGGAGACAGAGACAGGACCTTGGCTCCTGAGTGAGTTCAAGACTAGCCTGAGCTAGACTCCCACCCTCACCACCCTACAGAATAACTGTTTTTGAGAAAAGGTCTCTATTATGTTGCCCTGGCTGTCCTAGATCTCGCTCTGTAGACCAGGCTGGCCTCCATTTCCCAGAAATCCACCTGTCTCTGCCTTTTGAGTACTGGGTTTAAAGGTGTGCAACACCATGCCCAGCTTAATTTTAAAAAGTAAAATAAAACTGAATTTAATGCATTGTACAAAAGCTATGTAAAAACAAGGTTGCTCAGAGGGTAAAGTATTTACTGTGCAAACCTAGCAACCTGAATTTGATTCCTAGAACCCACTTACAGGAAGAAGGAGAGAACTCTACAACTCTGACCTCTGACCTCTAGATGAGGCCACATGTACCTTCTCCCAATAACAAATCAAGTAAGAATTTAAACTGACTTACACAGCACCAAACACAAGCTACGTGAAATGTGTTAGCCACCTAAAAAGCCCAGCATGGTGGCACACCTCTGCACCTAGAGGCCGTGGAAAGAAGACCCACTAAGTTTGGGGACGCCCCTGTCTGAAGAAAGGAAATGAACAGGCAAGCATACCTTGTCTTTGATGACGTTCTCTTGGCACGCCGTGCATTTTGGACTGGTGGAGCTGAAGGAAACAGAGTTAGTATGTTAGAGCAGGAGTCAGGTCCCCACTCCAGGCTCACAGCGCAGAGCACTGTCCACTGTAGTCAGGCCTGCTCTAGCTTTCGGCAACAGCCAGGGCTCCAGGATGCTACTGAAAACCGAGTTTAAAAAGAAAGCCACAGGAGAAAAAGAATGGAACTTTATGGGCCTCTCCCGAGCTCAAGTGGTTTCCAGGTCCTGTTCCATAGGAACCAGGGGCTGAGCCTACTGTGTCATCAGCCTGGGTCCTTTCACCCTCAGCAAAACCAAGTGGGCTGTGCAGGACACGTGAATGGGTGCGACGAGGGTGTAGGGTGCTCAGGAGCCTGGCTACTAGGCTCCGCCTTGGTCTCAGGCACCCAGGTGTGAGTGATCAGAGAGGCAAAGGAACTCGCTGGCCTTCTTAAGCTAACGTGTCCTGAGGGTCCTGATGGTACAGTGTGTCCTGTAGTGATCCGAGGGCCAAGCGCAAAGCTGGCAAATACACAATGCTGCATGATGAAGCTCTTCCTTGGCCGACTCAACTTCTGTCCTCCAACTCCCAACTTGTCCTTGTGATTTTACCACAGCAACTCTCTAGACTCATGAGCTTCTAGGGTCTGGGTCCCCCAGATCTCTGTGTACCTGCTAGGCAAGCATGCAGACTTACCACCTGTTCTGATCTGCACGTGACCCTGACCTTCCTCTTCCCTGGCCCAGGAACACCCTTCAATTTCAAGGACTTAGGATCATTTGACATCAGCATCATAAAACATAAGCTTCTTGTGCAGAATACAGCAACACAGATGGGGGACACAGAAGCTCTGTGGACAGAGTGCTAATGCCACTGAGGAGACTTCAGGGGAGCAGCCTGGGCAGGTGGGACATGAGGCCGGCAGGGCAAGGTCTCAGAAACTCAGGCATGAGATGTGCCTGAATTGCCCTAAAGGTTCTTCAATGCTGGACTGAAAATCATTCTCTTGGAAGAAACAGGTGAGGAGGGGTTGAGCCCCTGGCCAGGCAGTGTGAGGAGGGGTTGAGCCCCTGGCCAGGCAGTGTGAGGAGGGGTTGAGCCCCTGGCCAGGCAGTGTGAGGTGGGGTTCAGCCCCTGGCCAGGCAGTGTGAGGAGGGGTTGAGCCCCTGGCCGGGCAGTGTGAGGAGGGGTTGAGCCCCTGGCCAGGCAGTGTGAGGAGGGGTTCAGCCCTGGCCAGGCAGTGTGAGGAGGGGTTCAGCCCCTGTCCAGGCAGTGTGAGGAGGGGTTCAGCCCTGTCCAGGCAGTGTGAGGAGGGGTTCAGCCCTGGCCAGGCAGTGTGAGGAGGGGTTCAGCCCTGGCCAGGCAGTGTGAGGAGGGGTTGAGCCCCTGGCCAGGCAGTGTGAGGAGGGGTTCAGCCCTGGCCAGACAGTGTGGCCCGTGAGCAGCACCCACCTGAGCAGGGCGGCCATGCAGCTCTCACAGAAGCGGTGCCCGCACTCCGTCTGCTTCGGGTTGCACAGCACCAGGCGGCACTTCTCGCATTTGTACTTGTCCTCCACCGTCTTCACAAACTTCTCCTTGTAGCCTCCTTGCTCCGGCACAAGCACGGGCCCTGTGCCGCGATCAGGCTGCAGCTTTAGGGGTGGGTTAGGCTGCAGTGTGCCGGCAGCATCCATCTTTTTGCTTGACTCCATCTTAGGAAAGAGAAATTCTGCCAGGAGAAAGGTAATGAGATGTGTAAGTCATCCCTTGAAGAGGCCCAACACACATGGCTGAGAAGCACCCGTGCCCAGGCCTGTGCTTTCGGTATTTAAATGGGGCACCAGGACCCTGCCAAGGCTTAATCTGCCATGGAATAAGACATGACCAAGTGACCTCCTTCTTTTTACTTTATCCAGATCGTACTGGTAACACTGCCATTCAAAATACTTCCTGAAAAAGTATTCATCCTGAAAAATATACTTAGTAAATTGTGTTTGCATGGTTCTTTAAAATACTCGGAATATTTTTCTTCCTTTTTTTAATTAAAATTTTTTATTGATATGAATATACTGTAGCTATCCCCAGACACACACCAGAAGAGGGCATTGGATCCCATTACAGATGGTTGTGAGCCACCGTGTGTTTGCTCAGAATTGAACTCAGGACCTCCAGAAGAACAGTCAGTGCTCTTAACCACGGAGCCACCTCTCCAGCCACAGAGTATTTTTCTTTTTTCTTTTTTTGGTTTTTCGAGACAGGGTTTCTCTGTGTAGCCCTGGCTGTCCTGGAACTCACTCTGTAGACCAGGCTAGCCTTGAACTCAGAAATCCACCTGCCTCTGCCTCCTAAGTGCTGGGATTAAAGGCGTGTGCCACCACCGCCCGGCTTACAGAGTATTTTTCTGTGTCAAAACTTCATTGAAATGATTTGGCCAAAGCAACAGCTATTGTTGTTAAGCTCTATTTTGTTTTTAATTGTGTGTGTGTGTGTGTGTGTGTGTGTGTGCGTGCGTGTGATCTACATGTTGAGACACACATCAGTGCAGGTGCCCTTAGAAGCAAAAGACATCGGATCCTCTAGAGCTGGAGTTACAAGTGGTTGTAATTTACCTAATATGGGTGTCAAACTCGGGTGCTCTGTAAGAACTGTAGGTACCCTTAACCACTGAGCCATCTCTTCAGCCCTAGCAACAGCCATTCTTGGTCGGCTTTATTTTCTGGTTAGCTCCCTGACCGTAACTCCCACTACACTGTTATAAACCGACTCGGGCCTGTGTCTAGAACACTCTCTCTTGTCCCAGCAGTAGTACTTACTGAAGATGGGGTATGACCAGACCGGAAGAGTCATGTATGAGTGTGCCTGCGGAACAAAAGGCCCTTGCTTCTGTTCTCAGTTTACCAAGCCTGGAGCATCCTGAGTCAGCCCACATATGACAGAGCCATGGTATTGTCACATGGAGCCTATGGAGGACACAGGCTTCATGGGGCTATGGGACAGGCTGGTACAAAAGTCAGGCCTGGCAGAGGGACACAGGATGTCTCCTGAGACCCTGGGCAGGTTCACTTCCCACTCCTGGCCACCAGTTTCTCTGCCTTCCACCTGCAGTCCCAATGATGAACAGTGAGAGCACGAGTCAGCCACAAAGATCCCAGCTTAGGCAGCTCCGTCAGCTGAGCCTGGAGGTCCAGTAAGCAAAAGTAAGCAAGACCGTAAAGCAGTTGACTAGGTTCCTGAGGAAAGCTGACTTTAATGAAAATTATAGCTAGCATCAGTAAACACGCCTTTAATCCCAGCACTTGGGAGGCAGAGGCAGGCGGATTTCTGAGTTCGAGGCCAGCCTGGTCTACAGAGTGAGTTCCAGGACAGCCCGGGCTACACAGAGAAACCCTGTCTCAAAAAAAAAAAAAAAAAAACAAAAAAAAAAAAACCCCACCCACTAACCCTAAGTAATCAGTTTCAGTATTTGCCAGCGTTTGCTGACAGCACACATGGAGTGAGCCTGAATGGTGATAGAAAGGCTAGTTTTTCTTTCCTTACTTTCTGGATATCCCACCACCAGTGTCAAGTTTTATAACAAGGAATTCTGAATGACTGACAGTTGCGACCTCAGAGAAGTTTGTGCCGGATTCCCCTGAGACCTCTCTGGGTGGCTCTAGCATGCAGGCACTGATATACTTCAGCTCATCTCTGGGTGGCTCTAGCATGCAGGCACTGATAGCTTCAGCTCAGCTTGGCTTGCACAGCCCCGCCAGCCCTGTTTCCGGTGTACCTCAACAGGTCAGAGAAAGACACCTGTGGTGGCCTCGGAAATACAAAGTTTACTTTCCTGTCTTTCCACTCCCAGTCTTTTCCCTCAGCATACCATGGATCTGCTAACTAAACAGGCCTTTCAAAAGTTACCAGTTCTCCTAAAAAATACATTGTAGCCTTGCCCAATTTATTTTTCCTACCTAAAAATAATTCTGGGTTTGACTAGACATGAATACAGTTCAGTTGGTAGAGAGTTGGCCTGGATTTGATTCCTAGTGTCAAATAAAATGGGTCATGTACTCCTAGCACTCAGGCGGCAAAGGCTGGAGAGTTGGTAGCTCAAGATCAGCCTCACATACAGAGTAAGTTTGGGATCCATGAAAAGCATCTCAAAAGCAAACAAAAAACAAACATAAAATAAAACCCTCCAAACGGAAATAGGTCAGATCCTAACAACCCACAGTGTCTAGAGCATCTGCCTCCAGGACTCACTCACTTCTCTCGCCAGTATAGGACTCTGAGCTGTGAACTAGCATCAGGCAGCCCCGCAGAGCACACGTAAGTCTTCAGGGGAAGGCTGGGGAAGAGCCGAGTCCTCCTCTTTCCCTAAGCTCTGCTAACGTACTGCTTTCTCATTCTTTCTGAGGTACAAGGAACAAATGTTTCATGGCTAGGGCTATACAAAAATGACTGCCAGCAGCAGATCAATTAATGAACTGATGGTCCAGCCACACCTGAGTGAGCTTTAATAAAAGAACGATGCTGTGGTAACATGAAGACACCTGGGCGAAGTCTACGGACTGTATAAGTAAGTTTTCAAGACCACTTCAAGGGATCAGTGACTCTGCCCGCAGTCTGCATTTGAGAAGCCTGTTCACAGGAATGACAGCTTACCTTTCTGAACTATGTGTGAAAATGGCCTGCAGGGAGCTCACTGGCTGCCCGCCATCAACCATTCTAAGTCCCCAGGGACATTCCAGTATCTCTAACAGCCAACCTCACAGCGTCCCCTCCTTCCTCTGAAGGAGCTCCAAGCAATCCTCGGTGTACTTGTTCCCACAGGAGAACTACAGCCTTGGATAGGGGATGGAATTTGGATCTCTTCAGTTGACTGATAGCCCCCACATGATCAGAGTTGTGCCTGACATGCATCCAGGGCTCAGTATGTACTTACTGAGTTAACAAAAAGGCAAGGCCTGAGCGGCTCACCTCAAATATTTTGTGACAAACTGACTTCAGGAACAGAAAACTTTAATAACTGATCTAATTTGTGTGACGCTGAGGACGAACAAAGGTTTCAGCTCCGCATGGCTTTGTTCTGGTGCTGTGCTCTACAACGCCCAGGAAGCTAAATCAAGTAAGGGCCTCATGAAAGAGATAAGGGTAACTGAGTTTCTAAGTGTCCTAGTTACTGTTTCTACTGCTATGAAAAGACCACAGCAACTTTTTTTTTTATAAAAGAAAGCATTTGACTGGGCTGGCTTACAGCTCAGAGGTCTAGTCCATTATCCTCATGGCAGGAAGCACGGCAGCACACAGGCAGACACGGTGCTGGGGAGGTGGCTGAGCGCTAAGTCTGGATCCAAGGCAGCGGAAAGAGTGAATGGTTCTCTCTTGGACATTTGTAACTCTAAAGAACACGCCCAGTAAGTGACAGACTTTCTCCAACGAAGCCACACCTACTCAAACAAGGTCACACCTCCTAATGCCACTCCCTAAGCATTAAAATATGAGTTGGGAGTGGAGAGATGGTTCAGTGGTTAAGAGCACTGGCTATTCTTTCAGAGGACCCAGGTTCAATTTCCAGCACCCACATGGTAGATCACAACTGTCTGTAACTCCAATTCTAGGACATCTGACACCCTCACACAGAAATACATGTAGGCAAGACATGCATATAAATAAAGAAAAAATGTGAAATTAATTATTTTTAATATAAATGTAAACAGTGAATTAATCCGGTGGCTGTACTTATTTACCTTACGCTAATCCCCAGTAACTTCACAAATAATCCAAGATTTATTTAAGACTACACCTCAATGGCTGAGCCGTTAAATAACGTATCTTAAAGGTCTATGGTAACCTGGCCCCTCCCAGCCCCTTCCCATGATTCCTGCATATTATTATTAATCTGGCTCTTCAGATCCTTTCCTCATTGCTCCAATGCCTCCGCTCTCCCCACAGATCTGACCCTCCTGTTCTCCTTCCTCTCACTAGTGGGATGTCCCTCCCTGTTTTCTATTCTGCCCAGCTATTTATTGGGTGGTAAGTATTTATTGACCAGGCAGCAAAGAAATGGTAAGAACAATTTACACAAACTTGAGACAGGAGATTCTTGGTATAAGCATTACAATGGCATGTCTGGACTGAAACAAGATATGAGGACAGAGAAATCTGCACTTGAATAACCCAAGGGTAAACTTTACACAACCTACAAAACATTATGCCCGCACATGAGTCTGTGGAGGCCCTTCTTATTCAAACCATCACATTCCACTCCCTGGCCCCCATAGGCTTGAAGCTATATAAGGCAGAAATGCATCCAGTCCTACTTCAAACAGTCCATCAGTATCAACCCTGTTTAAAAGTCCAAAGTCTCTTCTGAGACTCATGGCGATCTCTTAACTGTAACCCTCTATACAATCAAAACCAAAAAACAGACCACATGCTTCCAACGTATACAAAGGGGAGAATATACAGAATCAATCCAAAGGGGAGAAAAGGGAACACAGTGAGGAAATGAGTCCAAACTCCACACCTCCATGTCCGATGTCAAAGTGGTCTTCAAATCTCCAGCTTGTTTCACTGTTTCAGTCTGTTGACTGGAACACACTTCTCTCTCCAGGGTTGATTCCACACCCAGTCTGCAGCTTCCTTGGTAAGTACTGCATGATTCGGCATCTCCAACATCTTGGGGTCCCCGAGGCAATCCAGGCTTCACCGTCAATGGCCTCTCTAGACCTCCATGCAGGCGCACCC